ACAATGCGCGTTTGAATCAAACGTGCGCGGGCCCACGCTCAACTTGTATCGTGATACGCAGTCATTACGCGTAATTCCTTAGCACACAGGGAAAAATTTATTTTAACAAATAATCGAGCTTGCTTGCGTAATTTAATTTGAACTCCACGCCAGCACGCATGATGGCCCGTCCGCTAGCGAAAGAGGAAATCTTCAAACAAAGGCGATAAGCTGCACTGGGTTGAATGTACTTGGGACCGCGGAAAACGCAGCCGCGTGAATTGCCAGTAAATGGAAATTCTTCCTATTACACCCCCCTTCCTTCTATCCTTAGGTTCGTCAATTTTATCTCATGTGCGGCAGAAATAAAAATCGCTTCAAATTGGATCTGGTTTATTTATTTACTCTGGTTTATTGTGAGTAATAAGTATAATTTAATGTTCAATTGACTTTCAACCCAATGCGCAAATTCAGGATAGTGTAACATCGTTGCTATTGTGGCACTTCGTTCTTCCAAAATGTAAATTTTGCCGACAACTGTGGTTATACTTCTATAAAGAGGGAAGGACTAGATACCGACATAGTTTGCTACAGCGCTGAACGTAGCAAGATTCCTTGGCTTTATTCAGGAATTGCGAAGTGTGCAATGCCGGGGAAAGTGCCTTCAAATCGGCTGGATAGGCAATTTGGGCTACCATTAAGCACGAATAGTTGCTTGGTCTGCGCCTGCCGATTGAACGCTTGTGATGGCTTGGCCGCCCGTCCAGGTATTGCAAACAAATGCGAAAATGGAAAGTGCCTTCAAATCGAGCGGATATGCAATGTGGGCTACCATGAAGCACGAATAGTTGCTCTGGCTGCGCCTTCCGCTTGAACACTCGTCGTGGCTGTTGAGTGCTCAACCAGACTTCAGAAACAATTTGCGAATATCACATAATCGAGTTTTACAAAACTAATTTAATGAAGGAGAAAGAAAGAAAAAGAAAAGAAAATGATAGTTCATACATGAGTGGTATCTTCGTTCAAATTCACTAAAGATATTCCACTTCGAAAACCTAGGCAAATCTTATAATTTTCCGATAGTCATTTTCCACATCAAAAAACTATTTTGCGATCAACGTGAGGGACCCATTCGAGCGAATGATCGTGCGGATCAATGTAAGCAAACCCTATCAAATCCTTCACACATTCTAAAGGTCAGGGAGCTGCATGACAGTCGAAATCGAGTTATTCTTTTCTTATATATTAATTCAAAATATCTTTAACCTAATTTTTGTGCGATTGACGGAAATGAAAAGGAGGGATCTCTTAAGCGTTACGCACTTCTTGTGGGGGGGGGTGTCCTCGATTTTATACAAAAGTACGTTACAAGGGGTAGGGAGAGATTAAGGAGAGGGGTAAATAACAGAGAGTACGTTGCGGCATAATGTGAACGCCGCCTTCGAACACGAGAGTGGGACTGGGGGGTGGGGGGTCAGTCGCCTCCGCAAAAACCCCCGAACACCCTTCCTCGAGGGATTGCTCTCCGACCTTCCCCGCCCACCGCTCCAGTCTAAACGCCCCCAATGTACTGCCGTGTTAAGGAAGAACGCTGCGGGTGCAAAAGCTTTGGTTTATCGTACCCGAAATGTCAGAGAGACTGTCCTTCGTAAAACATGTATGAAAATCTAATTTTGAATATTGCCGCGGATAAAAACGATCATTTACATATCGCGAAGAATAAAGATGAATTTACGCCATTAAAATACAACATTTAGAGTATATTGTCAGGTAATAGTCTTATTGATTGCAGAAAGAATGATTGGATATATTTATAAAAATTAACGTGCTTTGTACCCATGAAAGTGATTCTATGAAATCATTCTACCTACATGTAGCCAGACATAGGTGGCACAAATTCTTTCCTCCTTTTTACCAAAAAAAAAGAAGAAAAAATGAAATTTCAACTTCTTTTTTTTTTTCGTGGACAATAGGTACTTCCTCTATCCACGAGGAGAGCGAGAAAGTAAAAATTGAAAAACCTATTTTTAGCATATACTATCCTCTTCCTGAGTACGTTCTTACGTTGGCCAGCGGATTGACCGGGGGCCTTGAACATGACTTCAGGGCAACTGCGCGAATGTCATTCCTCTCTCTCACTGGCCCCTCCGTGGCTGTCCATCTCCTCACATTCCGACGAGCTCGGCAAAAACCGCCTAACTGCACACGGTTTCCGTCGAGAGCTTCGCGGGGCAGTTTCGCGAGGGTGCTTTCACGTGCAAGACGGTAAAGCTCGACGTTCGGAGCGGACAGAAATTAGCTTAGCAAGACTCCGTCGGTGAACTAGGGCGATGAGAACATAGCTATTGACCTGGATAAAACACGCCTTCAATTAAAAGTGACCTTGAGCATTGGATAGCCGCGCTGCCGCGGAGATACAGCCGTACGCGGTGTAATATTTACCAAAGCCAATCCGAGCGCAGAGAAAGAGCGAGTTCGAGACACCAGCAATTAGTGGACCCCGCGATAAGACCAAGTGTCACATTCCTCTTGTCTTGTGTTTTTCGTTTGAGGAATGTTAACGCAGCCATCGGTCTCTGGATAGCGACGAGTATCCATTATGAGGATAGAAATGTTACGGGTCATCCAGTAGGAGCTTTACATTATTTGTCCATTTTCCTATCCAATGAAAAGAAGCCTAAGCAGCATTGGCGGATCCAGCAATTTGGCAACACCGGATTTCCTCCATTTAAACCTATGGAAATGTATCGATTCTTGGAGGGGCCAGGTGCTTCGATAATAATCGATTACTTAGCATAGGTTTAAATGAAGGAAATCCGGTGTTGCCAAAGTCCTGGATCCGCCTCTGCTACGCAGCAACAGTGGCGTAAATGTTGGGCCGCAGGCTCTAAGGGGCACCTAGTCGCCTGCTGGAATTTTAAATTTTTTAAAAAAATTAATCCCTTCATCGAGCCGGGGGGGGGGGGTTAAATNGGGGGCAGAAATACAGTCTGCGGGCGGGCCCGCGCTGGGTAAGTACCGCCACCGAGCAGCAGTTTGGATGCGATCAAGAATTTGACGAGTGCGTAACACTTCTCCGGTTACGTCAATGATTCCAACAAAGTAAACCTTGAATCCGAACCCGATAGAAGCCTTGTTCGCATTTGGACTCTGTTTTCAGCGATGAAACTAAAGTAAACCAATGTGAACGGAATAACGACCATTGATTTTAGTCAGCACAACGAAATATCGAAGGCTCATGACGTAGGTAGATCATCACTATATCAACAGGTGGCAGAGTCAAAGATCGCAGTCAGGACGAATTGATTTGCACAGAAACATAAAAAAAGCAGACAAATAATGCAAAAATTCGGCTGAAAATCTGATTCCGATAATCTGATTTGTCTGTTTGGCAAGGAGGAATTTATTTGGCACATTGGTGGTTTCGGACATTTCGAACAAGGGGGGGGGGGAGGATTTTTTCATGGTCCCATACCGACCGGGGGGTCAAGGGGGTATGACCGTATATCCCCTACGCCCCCCCCCCCTTTGATCCGTCTCTGATTTTGCATGAGAGTTAATGCCGTTCATCTGTGTTCGAAAAATCTTCTTGCAGGCAAAAAGAGTCGAATGAATGAAATCGTATTTGAATAAGGTAATTGAATTCAGAGGTTTGCGTTCAAATTGCCTGGATTGGTGTGCTTAAGACTTAAAGTTTTCAGAAGAGGAGTAAGATGCACGGTTGAAATACACCTCTAAATGGTGGACCAGTAACAGTGTTAAATGACCATGAAAAAAGGGACCTAAGTTGAGGGACGAAAGAAAACTTGAATCGATACCTCGATAATTATCAACGTCCGGCACAGATTCACCTGAAAAAGAGGGAGGGGGTAACACGAGGCTGAGATGGGGGCGGGGGAGTCAAGTACAACGACCTTGGTACACGGCCGAAAGCTCGGAATCCGATAACCGACGAGCGGTTTTCGTCGAGAAGAAATGTGGCGCTGCGGCGAGAAAAAACTTGCGTCGTATCAATACGCAATAAATCCTTTGTCTAAATAAAGATCCACGGGCGCAACGCTGTAGCTGTAACCGAGTTATTAGAGTGCTGCCTGGGCTTCTCGCCGACGTTAACGACCCAGCGCGAACCCGGGATGGCGAGCGTTAAAAGTCGGTAATTCCCTGTTTAACAGCGTTAAAAGATGGTGATCCGCCAGAAATTCGGATTTGTTGCTACTCCGTTTAGCATTCGCGGTCGAGCAAAGGAGAGCACGGAAAAGAACGGGCGAAAATACGACACAGCCACGATTAAATGGAAGTCTTTTATCAACACTATCTTATCTTTCTTTGTTTGCTCCGAGCTGCGGATGAAAAAATTCAGGCGAGGAGGGATTCGGTTTTTGTTATCTCTAAACCACTTTGTGGCGAGCATTAGAAACAGATACCGTTTTTTTCCTCTGTCCCTGGGATGAGTCCTTTCAGGACATGAAGAAATACTTACTTCAATTTTCAAAAAAGACGCATCATTTAAACGAACGAGACCGGGATTGTCCTTGGAGTTATCAACGATTGCTCTTAATCACGAACAGTAAAGAGCCATTTCCATTCTCGATGTCTGATAAGGGGTCCTCTCCATTAAAACCGATAAAGGATTAAAATGAGTCAATTTATAAGAGGCAAAAGAAGGAAAAGGAGAAGGAGAAAGGATGAAGAATCATCGAGACGTGAAATATGTAAAATCACATATTTCACGACCGGTATGTTAATGCTCCAGTTTCACGAACAAAGAAAAGCGTCGAAAGTCCGCCTTCAATGTCAGAGGATGATCACCTGGTTGCACTGAGGATGGGGAAAAATTATGCCTGGGAAGAGGAAGGGGGGAGGAATTTAAGCTTTGCATATTAAGCGAGCGAATACGGAAGGTACTGCCACTGCGACCTTATCAATACCGAAAAGTAATAAAACGCCATGGGGGGATGAAAAGAGGCGACATGATAAGCGTAAATGACACGAGTGCGTCGAGGATAATGAGGAGCACTTACTTGATAATTTGCACATTTTAACGAAACAAAGAATTAGTAATCCATTTGTTGCACTGAAGTGTCATCACAAATCACACACAATCACAAAATCCAACGCGGGAGCGTGTAAGAGTAAAAAATCCAAAAAACTCAATAAAATCCGGGCTCGAGGCGAATCGGGAATCCTGCGGGAAATCGGAAAATCCGGAGAGCAGGGCCAGGCGCGAGGCGTCGACGACGTAATCGGGAGCGGGCAGGGGGGGGGATCGCGAGTGGCTGATTGCCGTAAGTCGAGAGACAATGCGTCACGGCGGACTGAGCGAAGCGACTAGCGACACGGGTGCACTCCACCGCGGTTCCTTGGAGACTGGCGAAGTGGCGAGCATCGGGCACGCGGGCCGACGTGCTGTGCCGAAGCCGAGTCAACTCGGAGCGAAGGGCAGGGAGCGCCGGGCGGGGCGCGGGGAAGGGGGCACTTCGACTCGGATGCACTATGATAACTACAATAATAATTCATCTGTTCCTAACTGCGGTCGCCGAGGGGAGGGGGGTTGATGCGGCGACAA